GCTGAAGGGGCTCGTACGAGGATGGACTGTTACTGCTGGCTACTTATTGTAAGTGTGAAGAGTCCAGTCCTTTCAAATGATTGAAACTTTCTATTACTTAAATAATTGAAGCTGAGTGTCCAATGTTTGTCTCCTTAGCATGTGTTGAAAATGAAGCAGTATAAATTATTATGCAGCATTTTTATTATATTTTAAGTTTGTGCAAGAGAGAAATTGTCTTATTCCTTTAAAATATACATTGAGGATAAGTACAGGTAGTTCTTAGCTTGTAACCATAATGGAGCTTGTCCATTATGGTCACAGTTTTGACAATCTTTAAGCAAGGCACCCATGTGACTGGCTTGCTTAATGACCCCCCCCCCATCCCTGCTTTTCCTGTTGCAGTCATTGTGCAGATGGGGTACCTTGAGTGGAGAGGCCCTGGGAGGCCTAGGATTGCAGTACCTTCCCAGCTCACACATGACCTGGCTCAGGCCTCCACCAAACCTGAGGCATCCTATGCTCCACTTTCTCCCTTCACTGGGTCCCCACAGGCCTTAGGCCTGCTTCCCACTCTGCTGGGTCCCACACACTCCTCCCCCCCCTTCCATCATAGACCATCACCTTTGTGGTAGTTCTTTGGGAAGCAGCTGCCCCCGTGTGTAGTCTTTCTACAGAGTGGAGATCACACAGTGCCATCCTGCAAGTGGGTGCAATTTCAGAGTGGCCACAATGTGGCTCCTTCCAAAATGGCACCTGCTTTCAGGATGGCATCACATGACCTCCACTGTGTGGGAAGGATGAGCAACAAACCAGCTGCTTTCTGAAGATCTATTTAGCAACAGAAATTTTGCGCTCATTTGTGGTTGTAAGTTGAAGACTACCTGTAATGTTTGTGTATTGGACTTCAGGTTGGCCCAGTAAAGGTTAAGCAACTTTCATTTACTTTCACTTAATGAAAGCAATATTTTGTTTAATTTAAATGGAATATAGCCCTAGAAAGCAGGCAGTGGCAACCACTTCTGAAATCTTGACAAGAAAACTGCAAGGGCTTTTCCATGCAATTGCCAGGAGTAATTGACTTGAAGCACAAAATAAAGGGGAGGGGGATACTTTCCTGATATTACATACATTTCATTTACTTATTTTTTTGTTATTGTTTGTTTTAAAATGCTTCTTTTAAACATTCCACTTAATTAAGATGACACCTTTGCTGTCCAGAGTTACTTATTTGAGATGGGTGGCTATAGAAATTGAATAAATAAATGAATATAATGTTTGAATCTGCCATGAAAATAGATTATTCATATTTTATTGCTTACTGCCATTCTTGTTCTTTTCATGTTAATATATTCAATTAAATACTATTAAATCTTGTATTAGGGATCTTCATTCTTACTTACTGGGAGACCAGGAAGAGAATGAAAACAATGCAAACCAGCAACCTAATAACCAACCAGCTCGCAATAATAATGCCATTCCAGTTGTAGGAGAAGGTCTGCATGCAGCCCACCAAGCCATATTACAACAAGGAGGACCTGTTGGTTTTCAGCCTTATCATCGGCCTTTAAAATTCCCACTCAGGGTAGGCTGTTTTAATACCTAGAATAATTAATTACTGTCTAATTTATTCTGTGTTTTTCTTATCTGCAGAAACTAATTCCTAGGGTTGTAATTTTAAGAGGGTATAATATCATCTGTCTCTTTGACTTATGCTCACTTTGAATCCCATTGTGATAGGATTGATACAATATTCTCACTTGGCTGGGCCTTTTTTCTGTGGGATATAATGAAACAATTATAAAGGGGGTATTTCTGTCTTGAAGGGTGCAGTGACTCAGCAGTTAAGACCGTGGGTTAAGTTGACAGCCCAGGTTCGAGACCTGAGCACCACGCAAAGGGATGAGGTCATGTTACTTGTCCCAACTCTTGCCCAGTTAGCAGTTCAAAAGCATACAAATGCAAGTAGATAAATAGATACCACTTCGGGGGGAAGGTAACAGTGTTATGTGCATCTTGGTGTATATAGTCATGCTGGCCCCATGACCACGGAAGTGTCTTCGAACAACACTGGATCCCTTGGCTAAGAAACAGAGATGAACACTACTCCCTAGAGTCGGACATTACTGGATAGGGGAAACTTTTACCTTTACTATTTCTGTCTTAGGACTGTAAGGACTGGGCTGGAAAAATCTAGACAACCTCTTAACAAAATCATAGGCTGAGATAGCATTTAAGTAGTTCATGTTGGTTTCTCACACAGAAACAAGCATACACCATCTTTTAAAGTATCTTAATCCTGTAATCATGTGTGAATCAGTATGTCTATATATTTCTGAGAAGGTTTGAAATTTGCCATTCTTTTTATAAGAATCAAAACTACTTTGATTCTTTGAATGCTGGGAAAATATAATAGGTAGAAATGGAGTGCTGAAATTGCACTAATGAAGATTAAAATAAAGTTTAGAAATTATGCCCTGGGTTTTCAGATAATCAGAAATGATCATTACAGTTGTTCAGACACGGAAGCTAAAATCATACAATAGACTAAGCATGGTTTGCTTAGTTATGGCTTATGAAACAAACTCTAATGGTCTGATTCATAAAATCAAATATAATTTTGATTTATAAATTAAGGTATCCTATCCAGAGAGTAAATCACACTAATAGGGCTTATTTGTCACTATATAACCATAAGATTTGTGAGGTAACAATCACTTTCTATAATACTGTTTTTCATACATATATATATTTGTATTAAATTCATTTCTTTTTCTATATTTCAGATATTTTTGCTGATCATTTTCATGTGTATAACACTCCTGATTGCAAGTCTTATCTGCCTTACATTACCAGGTATGAATTTCACAACAGAAGATATCCATTTTGGTCACTTAATTTTTCATTAATTTTGCATGTTGTTCTGTGTAGCTTTCTATGACAATGAGGCCTCTTCTTAAGATGCTTCTTTTTGAACCCTCAGAGATGCACAACTATAGACAGATTTCTAACCTACAATGGTTGGGAAGTGTGGTGACTACTTAATTGAATCAGTCCTGTAAGAAGCAGATTCCATGATCTATTTCATATTTGTTTCATGGAAGACTACAGCATTAAGTCTACCTTGGCCAATCTGATAGATTATCTCTGTTCAGCGATGTAATTCTGTTAATTTTCCTTGATTTATTAGCAATACTAAGTGCCATTAATGATGGTATATTTCTGAAACCCTTGAGAAATTTGGAAATAGGAGACATGATTTTGTGATATTTCCATTCCTATTTCAGAGTCAGACTTGATAATATTGGTCAGAGGCAATTTTTATTTCAGATGGGAGCTATTAAATTGTGTCTAAGGATTCCATTCACTTTCAATCTTCTGCACTACCCTTCTTTCCCCAAAATAAGACATCCCCTGATAATAAGCTTAATTGGGCTTTTGAGCGCATGGCAATAAGGCCAAGCACTTATTTCAGTGCTCAAAAAAATATAAGACAGGGTCTTATCTTCGGGGAAACATGGTATCTATATGAAATTATTGGGGGAAATCATCAAGAAATTTGGAGCTGAGTGCTTTCAATATGTTGATTGATACCCGCATCTATTTTTCTGTAACACTGTCAGAAAATGGTATTTGCAATCAATAACAAGATAAGAAAAAATATTGAAATGGAATCCAGACAAAATGGAGGTACTTATTATGAGGGACCATAATTCCAGAGAGGTAGTCCATTTGCCTATTTGAATCAGATTATATTCTTTCATAAGAAGCAAATACATTGAGAATTTTTCTTAAATTTGAAATCTACTTACCTCAATTGAGGCAATGACTACAGTGATTTAGATGATTTACCAACAACTGTGACAGTCAATTTGATCTATTGGTTAAGGCACCAGACTCGAAAGCAGGAGACCATGGGTTCTAGTCCTGCCTTAGCCATTTGGGCGACCTTGAACCAATGACTCTCTGTTGATCCAGTGGATGTTTGCTGCCTTAAGTTAGTCATAAAAATAAAAGGATAGAAACCAATAAATTCAGTAGTTAGGGTGCTAGAATAGAAACTGAATTCTAGTCTTTCTTCAGGCATAAACGCCAGCCCAAGTTATATTAGAGAATGCCTGTTTATGAATCTCAGCATCTATTGTTTCACCCACAGTTGCTTGTTTAGTGGCAAGTTGGAATCAAAGTTATTCTGTGTTGCCACTCCAAGTCTTGGGAATGCTGCTTTTGCAGAGTTGAGGGGCCCAACATTTTTATTGGCTTCTAAAAAGGCTTTCAAAAGACATTTTCTTGTTCAGACTTTGAGCTGTTAAATTTAACGGCTAATGTTAATTACTTGTTTTACTTTAAATGTTTGGATTTTAAATTTGCTTTTATTGCAAACCACCAAGAGCTTTGTAAATCAATAATATACCGAATTATATAAATAATCTATCTCATATACAATTCAGCTTCCTAGAAAAAAACCGGGTGTGCTTTTGACTTTAGAGGAAACTGACAACATAGTACAAAGAGTGGCAAGTGTTTTTGCAAACATCCATTGTTTTTTTGTGTAATGCAGCTGTGCAATGCCCTTGTAATACATACTATTTGGATCAATAAAAAGTAATTTTACAATAACTTACTAGGATTTCATACATCCCTTCCTTTATTAAACAATGGACCCCCAGGTATTGAAATTGCTTTCAATTTCATTAAATGTTTGCAGCCGACAACTTACTGGACTGACCCACTATATTTATGGAATGAGTTTTTTGGATCCATATTATTTGATGACCATAAGATAATACAAAGTTTTCTTACTAGCAATAATTAAATTTTTTTTTGCTTTTAGTGTTTGCTGGCCGCTGGCTGATGTCTTTTTGGACAGGAACTGCTAAAATCCATGAATTATATACAGCTGCTTGTGGACTGTATGTTTGCTGGCTAACAATTAGGGCTGTGACGGTACTTGTTGCTTGGATGCCACAAGGACGTCAAGTGATTTTTCAGAAGGTAAAGGAATGGTCCCTCATGGTAAGTTGTTAGAACATTTATTTATTTATTTTTATTTGGAAGAGAATGCAATAGATGCAATGAGACCATGTCTCTTGGATCATGCTATAATTTTAACAAATGTTTCCTTGGAAACAGGAAAGCTACAGAAGAAAACTAATATTAGTAATTGGAAAAAGAACAGAGTCTGAATGCAAGGATTTACAATATTATTGGAATTCTGAGAGTATAATTTTGGAGGTTCTTATAAGCTACCCATTCACAAAATCAGTGCCAATATGGATTTGACAAGAGAATATCCATTTATCATTAAATGAATGGTTAATGCTTCTGGTCACCAATCTGCCATAACCGCAATAGATATTCTCCATTCTAATTTATTCTAGAATGGATATTCTCCATTCTAGTTTATTATTGTTACCAGTTAGTAGAATTCCAGTCAAGCATCAGAAAAAAACAGTTCTCACTTTTAATTTTCTTATTTATTTTATACATATATAATTAACAAGACAATCTTTAATCTTAAAGAAAAAAATTAAAATATTGAAAAAACACTAGAAAATAGTTTTTATTTTTTATTTTTTTTAAATGCCTGTGGAGCCTTTGTAAGGAGAAAGGAATTTTGAGCTCTGTCCTGTAGCACAATCATGCTACAACGCACAATCATCTCCCTGCCTCTGCGGGCTCTCCATGGTGAGATAGGGATTTGCGGCTCCATGCATGCTTGGATTTTGGCTGCTGAGGTTCAAGCAAGCACAGAGCTTGGGCTCCTTCTCTCCCCAGGTCTGTTCTCTCTGCAGAAAGCTTCTGTGGGGGGGGGGGAATAAGAGAAAGATCTCAAACTTGCACATGCCTTGGTCTCATCTACCAAAATTCAAGCATGCTAGAATCCCAAATCTCTTTCTCCCCTCCTCTGCAAAGCTCTACGCAGATACTAGGAAAGAAGGGCCCCAAACTCCATTTCTTCCTGGATTTCCAAGCATACATGGAATGCAAAATCCTCCTCTCCCCACCACTGTGGGATACAGGTAGGAAAAAAGGGATTTTAAGTTCTGTGTGTGCTTGAATTTTGGCAGCGAAGGTCCAGGTATGCATGGAATTTGGGATCCTTCTTTCCCCACTTCTGTGGAGAGCTCCCCAGAGACAGGGAGGGAAGAATTTTAAGCTCTATGTCTGTTTGGATTTTGACTGTCAAGATCCAAGCAGGTACAGATTGAACAGAGTTCTTTCAACCATCCTCCAGCAATGAGACAAAATCCTTTCAGCAGGTGGCAGCAGCTTGCAACTTTCCTTGCTAGCTTTTCCATTCACTTTCTGTGGAGGTTGGTAGAGAAGATTGCAAATGGCGATCATGTGATCATAATGTGCTTGGCAACCAGTCATAAGTCGGAACAGGTTGCCAAGCATCCAGATTGCAATGATGTAATGGGAGGAGGGGTTACAATATTTTGCAACAGTCAGGAGTGTTTTACAGGCCATAAAGCACCCTTTCAAAGGCTGTCATAACTTTGAATGGCCATTAAGCAACTGGTCATTAAACAATTACAATATTGTAATCTTTTTTAAATAATCTAAAAACATTGGATGAACAGACAACAACAGGCACAAAAGAGATACTTTTCAACTCTTTGGCATCTCACTGGGTCTGTATTTTTTCAGTTCTATCTAATTTTCAAGGCAAAAAAGGGCAGAGCATCAAGAAATATCAAGTTTGCTTGGATACTCTTCCTCTCTGAACCACAATACAAAAGAATGGAGTTCTTTTGCTGAATTTCTGAGTGAATTCTGAAATTCAACAGAAATCACTTCACAATGTTGGGTCACTGTTAATCGTAAATCTCCAGTAGGCTTAATACAGAGGGGGAAAAGGAAATTTTAAAAATCATTAACAGAAACCTGTGCCCTCTTTGATGACATGATGCCATTGCTCTGACACCCAGCTGACATGCTAATTTTGTCACACATCTGAAGTAAGTAAAAAATATGTCTCTTATAATTCTGATTTTATGCATCTGCACAAGTTTATATATGTTTGAGTTCCTCTTGATTTTAATATTTATATACCCACTTGTCTATTTAAAAACAGCATATTATGTTATTCTCAATAAATGAAACTTTTTTCTTCTTTAGATAATGAAGACATTAATTGTTGCTGCATTGCTGGCTGGTGTAGTTCCACTCTTGCTTGGACTTTTGTTTGAGCTAGTCATTGTTGCTCCTCTAAGAGTTCCCTTGGATCAGACCCCATTATTCTACCCCTGGCAGGTCAGTTCTTGCAGCTTCTAAAGTTGCTAATCTGTAATTGAAGGGAGACACATAGAAAGTCTACCTTGTGAAAGCAATAGCTTACAAAATTAAAATATGATCTAAAAATTAAAACCAGCAAGGAGAACCAATAGCAGTTAAAATGTAGAGTTTTAAAAGCAGCAAAGCATATAATGCAATTAAGGTTCTAAAAAAGTCTGCTTAAAGAAATAGTCTGCATTATTCAAAATATACCTTCTTTCAAAGCTATTTCACATCCTAGATTCCAGACCTGAGAAGACCTCATTCTGGCTCTTTATCCACTTTATGTGATGGCTAACCCTGAAAGAAAACTTCTAAGTGCCAAATAACTTGTCTCAGATAATACTCTTCTTGAGACATTCTGATCCTATATTTAGGCTTAAATCAATGTATCTTTCAAAACATACAGAAATAATAATATTGAAAATAGACTTAGAGAATTGCTTTCTATTCTTTCATAAAATAGTTTAGCTGTTTTTCACCATACGTTTCTGTACATGCCTGCTTACATATTTGTGTTCAGTTCATCCTACCTGTGGAATCCTTAGTGCTCTCTGAGCTTGGTTGTTTGCTTGCAGACATTTCATTATGTTCAGTGTTAGAATGGATTGGGATTTTTCTCTATTTATATACAGTAGCCTCCTATGTAATCACTTTTAGATATTGTATAGAAATATACTATAAATAGGATCAATAACTTCATTAATCCGGACAACTTTAATATAAGTGGTAGCAAGTTGGTAAAATCAGATAGATGTTCCGTGTGGGTTTTCATCAAAAGTTGAAAAGTCATTTTTATGAGGATTTCTGAATTTACATTCTTATGCTGATGTAGATACAAGATAAATATGTTTCACACAAGGTCTGTTTCCTAATTTTACTAAGTCTTAATTAGACTGAGAAAATGCTCTGTATTGAAATAATAACTACAATAATTGCTTTTGTTTAAATAGGACTGGGCCCTTGGTGTTCTGCATGCTAAAATAATTGCTGCCATAACTTTAATGGGGCCACAATGGTGGCTGAAAACAGTCATTGAACAGGTCAGAAATATTTACCTTGTTTGATTTAGTGACCAGAATATTGATGGAATATATCAATGTATGATATAATTAATGGCATTTCTTTTTAGTTAGAATTGCTTTTCTCAGAAAACTGTGTGGGGGCAATCTTTTTCTCTTGCACATCCGTGAATTCTGCTCCAGAGCCAATTTGGAAGATCATGTAGTATCCTGGAAAAAAAAAAGGAAAGGAGAAAATACATGTAGTCCTCCATTTACAACAGTTCATTTAGTGATCATTCAAAGTTACAGTGACACTGAAAAAAGGGGCAAGACTGTTTGTCACACTTATGACTGTTGCAGCATCACGTGATCAAAATTAAGACGCTTGAGAACAGACTCTCATTTATGACATTTGCAGTGTCTCAGGGTCACCTTTGGTAACCTTTGACAAGCAAAGTCAATGGGGAAGCCAGAGTCACTTAACAACTGAGTTACTAACTTAACAACTGCATTGATTCACTTAACAATTGTGCCAAGAAAGGTTGCAAAATGGGGCAAAGCTCACTTAACAAACATCTTACTTAGCAACAGAAATGTTGGGTTCAATTGTGGTTGTAAGGTCAAGAACTACCTGTACTGTTCTGTGGATGAAAATCAGTCACTCGGCCTATTAGAACAAAGACAACAATTTTGAGAAAATAGTCTGTTTTATTAGAATGTTCATGTATATAAGACAAAGTGGTCCATTTTGAATTGAGCATTAGTATATTAGTAGCTAAATTAACTTTGATTATATGGCCTGGATACAGATTTGTATTTTGTAAACAGAATTTTTTTTTTCCTATTCATGGAAAACAATGGAAACTAGCAGAGGCTTCCCATTCAGTAAAGGAGGGTCTGAAGAACATCTTAACAATTAGTCCCTCCATATGGGTCAATTTTCACATAGCTCTAATCTCCCAGGCATATACGTGCTTTAGTGAGGAAGAATCACTTACTTTAGTATTCTGTTTGCAAATCAACTAAATGGTAATCATTCATTTCCTTAACTTCGTTCATGATTACTATGGCCTTGTTTAGGTGTCTTTCAGTCAGTGAAATATTTCCCTCATTCTGGGAAGCTTATCACAGTCATTATTTCTCAGCCCATTTTAGAGTTCTGATAGGAACCCTAGGAAAGAAAAAAATAAGTATTTTTTTAAAAACAGTGGTGTATAATTTGTTACACCTCAAACTTTTTGGTAGTTGCAGAGTATCCCCAGATCATGCCATTTAAGTTTGCTGACCAACTAGGTAACTTTAGGTGCTAGAAAGATAAAATTAAATCCATTTTACATCCTTGAATTTCCTACCACCAGTTTGTTTGGTCCTACCCACCTTGAGTTGTCCCTGTGTATCAGATATATTCCCTGAATTAATGGAGGCCAAAATCAATATAACTAAAAATAAAATGTACCTCTCATCTCTGTGTTTACGTTGACAGTGTCTTCTAGTTATGAATATAAGCTTTGCACTAAATATAATCTTGCTGGGCAATCATTATTCATATATCTTTAATCTTATATTTCAGGTTTATGCAAATGGAATTCGAAATATTGACTTACACTTTATAATACAAAAGCTTGCAGCACCTGTTATTTCAGTTTTACTGCTTTCTCTTTGTGTACCTTATATTGTAGCTTCTGGCGTTACACCTTTGTTAGGTAAGTGCAAATGGCAATGCAGATTTCATACTTGGACGATACATTCAGTTAAGATTTACAGTGGAAATATATTATCATCATTATTATATAAAAATATCAAATCTTCATATAGTGCAATTTATATGAATGATACATCAACTGTATCCATATCTTTCTAACACATTAATCAATAGTTTCAATATACTTATTGTATTTTATGTTTAGCTTAAAAACTCAAAAAGTATATTTAAGAAATTAAAGCTATAAAAACTGATGCTATATTGGAGTCATATTTGCATTATAATCAAAATTATTACAGAGTAGTATAAGTTCAGTAATCAAAACATAAACATATCTGTACCACTCCCAAAATAATCACATAAGTTATTTTTCTTCTGTTGATTTAAGTAGATTATTGAAATGAGAGTTCATAGAACACAGAAAATTACTTTGTGCTCCTGTCATGTTTGCAAGTGTTTTCTGAATCTGGAGAAAGTTTGGGACGAATGAATATGAAATTCAATATAAAATAGGGTTCAAATAAGCCATAGTTTTATTAGTTCTAATTTCTATGAATTTGGCCAGCAGGTGACCAAGAACCTTCTGAATTTCCTTTGGGAAGTTGAAGAGTGGAAGCATAGCTGGCATCAGTGAATAGTACAGCCTGCTTCACTTGTTCACTACTACCAGTCTAGAATGTAGCTGATATACCAGTATGGAAAGCAGATTGACCTATGGATCCTATATATGTGACCCTCCCCTTAAAGTTTTCATTAGGCATATATGCCAGTTGTCAATTCCTGATAACCTTATTGTTGTTACTAATCAGAATTAGCATATTGAATAAAAACTTTTAAGTAATTTCATATAAAGAAGGCAAATGGTATTGTTTGCCTTTTTGGATCTCAGCAGGCAAATGGGATCTTACACAAAGCTCCTGGTGTTACTACCAAGAATGCATAGTAAGGAAGAAATAGTAGAGAATCAATTCTGAATGAATAGAAAAAAGACTAGTTGTTGAGCTGTTGGGTTTTTCAGTTAACTACAATTTCTTATTTTTGAGAATATGCCACAGGTATTAACTGCTTTTTCAAAATACGTAAATGGCATTAACAAAGATAAACATACAACCTTTATTTTAAAAGAATGCATTAGTTGAAATGTAATATTTTTATAATTGTTTATATTTATAGTTATATTACAAATGAAAAGGTAACTGAATTAACATTAAAATTTCACATTGGTAATAGAAACGTTTAGAATTTGCATTAATCAAATTTTTAGTTTCATTGTTTTTCTATTACTATTTACAGGTGTCACTCCTGAGATGCAAAATTTAGTACAACGACGGATTTATCCTTTTCTACTCATGGTAGTAGTTTTGATGGGAATCTTATCCTTTCAGGTCCGTCAGTTCAAGCGCCTTTATGAGCATATTAAAAATGATAAGTAAGTATCCTAGTCAAGATTTATTAATGCCAGAGTATAGTGACAATCTCCTAAATATTTAGGAAGCTGGAATACTTGGGAACTATGGACAGAATTTTTGATATTCATAGTATCACTCATAAGCACCTGAAATTGTGCAGTGATAGAATTTGTGTTTATTGTGTTTTGACTACATTACAATAGTAATGCTGCCTTCCTGTATCCCTTGAAAACAATGGAAGTTTCTTTTTTAAAAACTTCAGTGAAATTGTATCTTTTGTGAAGAAATGTTCCTTCAGTTAGTGTTTCATTTCAGAACCAAACTGAAATGAATACTGTTTTTTTTTTTAAAAAAACCCCTCTTTTAAATCCTAGATATCTTGTTGGGCAACGACTTGTGAATTATGAACGAAAAACTGGGAAACCAGGGACATCACCGTCACCTCCTCAGTCTTCACAAGAATAGAAATGGTCACATGGAATTACTTGATCTTCCTTTGCCTTTGTGTTCTTTGTCATAGACTGGTCATTATTATTTGGGTATTTCCAAACTATTTTCTCAGCTGGGGTTTTATATTTTAATTTTGGTTTCTTTTCTCATGGCATTCAGATAGCAGTTAAGGCTGTGTACTATCTGCAATTTCTGAACTTACCAGTACTGAGATCTGTAAATGTGTAAATAGCAATATCCCAATACCCTAAAACCTTGGATTAAAAATGAATGTTCATTGTACATCTTTAAAGAATATTAATTTATTAAATCTAGTTGTCACTTTATTTTGGATTGCTGTTCTGTTGACATATGTGCCACAAAACAATATTGCTGTAGGCAAGATATATATTTCAAAAGAATCAATTGCATTTTTATAGCAATGGCTAGCTTATCAAGGATATGAAAATGAAATAACCATTACAGTCAACAGTGAAGTGGCTGTGATAAGAAAACATGAATTTCATTTGATTTTTTAAAAAATACTTCTGTATAACATCAAAGCTGTTGTACATTTTCTATTGCCTGATTATTATTTTTTTTCATGTGATTTCCTTTGTAATATTGTACAGTAGAATGGATCAGGACAAATTTTCTCCTTCAGACAATTTTAATCGCTTGGTTGTGAAGCATTAATTTTTTGGAACTGGAAGACAGAATTTTAATGAAATTTTATGCACTTAAAATTCATTACAAGAAGTGGCATAAAATACCTAAATTGAGAGGTTTGTGTAAGAATTTATTTCCATTGTGTATGCCAATATTTCCTGTGTTATGAATTGAAATGTGCAAAGATTTATTTACATTGGAGTATAGGAGAAACGGCTATCTGGCTTATTTACCAAATACAGAAAAGTAAATGATAAAAAATGCAACACTTTTCTGAATTGCTAGAACTTTATTACAACCAAAATCACAAAGCATACCATGGAGCTCATATTCTCTTTTATTAAAAATGAGTATCTGTAATTTTAGAAATGGTCAGCATTCTGCATGGCAATTAATTCTGAAGGATTTATGAATTTGTGTATATGGGAGGGAATCTAAATACTATAGTATTAACAGCTAGAACAAGAAACAAACATTAAAGAATCAGTTGATTTTTACAATAATTGTACCAAAAGTATCCCCCAAGTCAAGTTATTTTTATATGTATAATTCTTTTCTGCAGGTAATAATAATATATTTTAATGTCATTACTTCTGAAACACAAGGTGAAATATGAAACCTTTCAATTTCTTTATGTGCTTGAAAATGCAATATCCTATTCAAAAATGGCGAGAAGTTTTTAGATTTATTGTATTCAGAAAATGCTATGCAGCTGTGTTACCACTCAGGACTGCACCCCTGAATATAATGTAGTTAAATTATGTTATCAAATAGCTTGCTGTCTTCAGCATGTTTTTGTACTGAAAAGAGTTATTTGGGTTCTATGATTTTAGGATGGGGGTGAAGATTTGGAGTCTAGATTTCCAATAATTTATGCACACTGCTAAAGTACAGTAGAAATGGGGTTGTGCTCTTTTTCCATTACTGACAATTTGAGCATTACCTCTATTTTGGCATTTTGAGTAATACAAGGATTGTTTTTTTTATTTTGATGCTGTTAAATTTTTTTGACATTGCTCTCATTAAAAAACATAGTAATGAGAAGATAGCCAAAATCCCCCACTTGCTTTTAACTGTCTGTACTTTAGACAGATCTTACTTGTGAGTTTTTGTATCTATTTCTTTTGGAAATGCAAATACTACAATTTCAGTATTTTGTGCAAGAGCATAGTTTGCCCACAATTACAGCATTTTCTAGCGACAAACTTTCAGTTGCACAAAATTAGTTCTTGACATCTTTGTTTTTTAAAAAAGACAAAGTAATCCAGTCTTTCCTCTAGGATATTGCCAGCAATGCTGTGCTTCTTCCTGTAGCATTTTGCAGAAATGCGGTAACTTGTAATTCGTGTTTTTATCCCAGACAACCTGATGTTCAATGATTATTAAAATTTGTTAAGAAAAGTATTGGTACTTGTTTTCTTTTTGCTACTATTTAACAGTAATTATAAATAGTTTGCCTTACAACATTTCTTTTATATCTGATCATCTTCAAGTGTATTTGTTAACTTAAAATAATGTACAAAATGTTTAACATGTCCTGGTTTGCCCAAAAGATGAATTGTATACTGTATTCTATTTCAGTGATACAAACTGGCATTTCTATGTAACATACAGAGGCATTTTGTTCCAGTTCACTTCATTATTTTTTATATTTTTATGTATATACTTTTGTGCCTTTTTTGCTTTTACATACAAATCCTACCAATGCCAAACATTGAATTCTGCCTGCTGTGATTACCGGTAAATTGCAAAACATGTTTAAATCTGCCAAAGGAAAATATTATTAGAAAATCTGTTATCTATCCAAAGTTGCTGGAAATTAGCAATTGTGCTTAACACTTTGTTTCATTTGTAATCAATTTAATTTCTTAAAAGTATTTATTGTTCCAGTAGAATATTAAGTTTCTGTAGCTATGGTACATAAGTATTTGGCCCGCAGTTTAACAAGTATTGCACAGTTCTAATCCTTTTCTAGTTCCTTGTAGGTCTGGAAGTGGGTGTTTTAATACAGGCACATCTCCCTTTCAGGTAGGCTTTGCTGTTTGTTAAGAGAAGACATATATACAGGTGCATCCCTTTTTCCATATGGAGGTGTTTTTTTTTTAATTGAAGGAGAAAAATATCTCCTGTACAATTTACTTCTATGAGCATTTCAGAGAATTAAACTAAGTGGCATGCTTTCTAACTTCCAGTAGAAAAATATTTTTCTGAACTGTGTTGCATTGTGGCCCTTTATTTAACCAAAGAGAATATCCAACATCTGGTATCCATATGTTGCTGTATAATCTTTGGCATAAATACTTTTAAACTTTTAATAATAAAAGTAATATTTAAAAGTGTTCTATGGCTCCTTTTGAAAAAATTACCGTGTATATTACTTCTATCTACACTCTCCTTTTTAAAATTAAAAATTAAGCAGCATTTTAAAGTGCGGTTTAAAGTTTATCCCAGAGCAAATTTTTAACAAGCTCCTCAAATATTGAGAAGTTTCGAAGGCAGCGCTGTGCGATATTAACGGCGCTTGCTCGAGGGCGCGACGTATTCAGCCTACTCTGCGTCATCAAGGGTCGCGCGGCCTCACGTTAACTCAGATGGGTGTGTAAAGTACGCTGGCCGCGGGAAACTAAAGAGTACGAGAGCTGTTGTAAATTCCAGTGCGGGAGGTGGGAAAAGAGAATTTACCATAGAGATTCGGCGGAATAGGATGACCAACGGCGGCTCTTGGTTGTCAATTCTCGATCCTTTCCGACGTTGCTACGAGACAGACGCGCGCGCTGCCATGGAAACCTAACTAGCTCAGACCTTTCGAGAGGCAGCCGAGAAACGAAGCCTTGGCGTGGCGGTGCCTCCACCAGTTGTCCTTTCCGTAGCTTCTTGCCGCTGAACAGCAACTAGCCGTTAGAGCAGAAGAGCCACTTGAGCCGGAGGAAGGGGACGAAGTTCCCGTTTCAAGCGTGGGGTGGGGTATTAGCTGGGGATACTGCTTCATTTGCGGTACTGTACATTTATGCTCCCCTTTCTACAGAGAGCTTAGGATAGCTTTTTATGATGTCCCGCTTCTAGCATCGTATTTTATTTGAATAACAACCCTGAGATAGGTTGCAACTAGAGAGAGGAGGTGTATATACGTATGGATGACTGACACCCCTCCCCCTAAAAGTTAACTTCCTACCTGAGAGGATTTTTAAACTCTAGACTCCCTCATTCCAGTCCAGCCAGAATATTTACTGCTAGTTACATCAAGCGATCAGCTGAAAACGCATTTGTTGAATACAAATCTGAGAAGTAGAATTACACTTGCTACCCCCACAATGAGTTATGAATACTGTATGGATTACAAGGCAGACTGTAAAATATATATTTAAAAGAACCTAAGCAGTAATTGCAATCAAGGCTGGACTTCGTGTCTTAATCTTATTCACCGAAAAGACAGAAGGGAGCCTTAGGCTAGCAGTGTTTTAAATAGATGAGCAGTACCAAAAAATAGAAACCTAATAGACATTTATGACTATAATTTAAAAATATCTGGATGCATCAGTATTTAATAAAACAATTGCTTAAGAGAGTGGGATTTACAAATGTCTGTATGTAAATACAGGTCCTTCTTCACAAGAAGGAGCCCTATATAAGGCCTTTTGTATTTTTGTAATTGTCCCCCAAATCATCTTATTTGGCTACAGTGCTTCTTTTCCTCACACATAATGTCCCAGAAAATGCATTTTCTATAAACCAGGTTGTATAACTAATTTTTTTCTCTAACCTAGATATGTTAGATCAATGTGTGGTCAAAGTGTGGTCTGGGGACCTCTGGGGATCCCTGAGAAATCCACATAAACCCAAGCTGTTTGGGATCCTCAAACATTTTTAAGAATATGAAGGAGTCCTGAGACCAAAATATTTAAGAACCATATGTTAGACTATCAATCTCATCCCATTCACCTTAGAGAAAGTGCATATCCTAGGCCAAAGATGATGTGGAAGGCTGCTATGAACACTTAATTGTAGTTTTAGTACTTTGTATATTGAAATTATTCTGCTGAGTGTTATGTTCTGCACTTTTGCATTAAACTAATAGCAGTATGTAACACACTGTAGTCTAGTAGATACTTGGATTGTATATTAAAAGAGAAAAATCAATAAAAGAAATTTGTACCTGAGGTATCCTGTGGTGCTCTCTGAGCACCTTTGTTTTCTTGCAGACGTTTCATTATCCAAACTAGGTAACAGCATCAGTGCTAATGCAAGAAATGTCTGCAAGAAAACAATGAAGCTCAGAGAGCACCAAGGACTCCTCAGAAGAGAAAAATGTTAATTTCTGGCTCTGGATATTATTCCTGGAAAACAGTATTGTTAAGAACAATATATTTCTTGCTAAATGCCCTGAGAATCATTTGATTAATATGCAGAACCTAAATCTATGTTTATTCTAATATAAGGATTCTGATTTCATGAAATACATATCTAAAACCTGATTTATCAGAAATCATTGCAGTCGTCATTCCCAGGTTTTTTGTTTTTTTTTTTAAATTTGATTTATATGCCGCCCTTCTCTGGAGACTCAGGGCGGCTTACAATGTGCTCAGCAATAGCCTTCATCCTTTTGTATATTTATACAAAGTCAGCTTATTGCCCCCACAACTGGGTCCTCAATTTACCTACCTTAGAAAGGATGGAAGGCTGAGTCAACCTTGAGCCTTGGCGAGATTCGAACCTGCAGTAATTGCAGGCAGCTGGTCTTAATAACCAGTTTAATAACAGGGTGCCTTAGACCACTGTACTACCAAGGCTCTTATTTATTTTCAAGGTACATTTTATAGTGGTAAGGAAAAACAAATGGGAGAGAGTTTGACTTACATGGAACAGAGATAAACATGCAGATTTTTTTGAGTACTGTACACAATACTGTAACTGCTGGTTCCTTCAGAAAATATCACAAAAATGACAAAAAACAAACAAACAGTGTAGTTTAGCTGGTGCAGATATCTACTGATGTATGGCAATCTCATCTTACTAATGAAAGATCTCAGATTGATGAATTCCTGTAGGGAATTCTGGACCATGTTGCACTTAGGCTTGGCTACTCACCAGAGGGTTTTAAGATTTAAGCAACAGTGAAGTGGGAGTGTATAGCCCTTAGCAGGAATAAGTTGTTTCTAATTAAGTGAGGCATACAAAACATTGTGCATTTTAATATAATTTGTTAGTCTGGACAAGTTCTACCAGAATCCTGGTTTTTAGCAAGAAGAGAATAATCAGCGCCAGGTATGGGAAGATAGACTAAAGGAACTAGAACACATACAAAATAATTTGTGGCAGAGCAACAAGTGCATGTGGGAGTCCACTCTCAAATTATGAAGTGATATTCTAATTCACCAAAGCATGTATCACCTATTTATAGTGGATTATATTTATTTTTCCCCTCCCATCCCATAATCTGAAAGTTGGAAAGATTGCTCTGGAAAATATTTGTAATATGTGCAAATGGCTAAAAGCGAGGGAACAATACCTTGATGCAAGCAAATGTTTGCTTTCATAATTTGGATGTAGCCTAATATAGTTGTTAATTTTGTACCAGAAAATGAGTTGGCATTGTTTTTGCTATCACACTTTGTTGGCTACCAAATCTATCATCAGAAGACTTTTTAAAATTATGTTCGTATGTAAACCATATTTCAGTTATAAATAGGTGCTGCCTATGCTTGTTTTCAAAATAAGATGTTATAATATGAAAAGTGAAGTGTGTGTGCTAAAGAATATTAACATATATTATACCTTTGTACATCTCGAGTTTATTTTAGAATACATTAATTAATGAACAGTTTCATTTTAATTTTCATAGGATTCTAGTTTGGGACCTTGAATAACCATGCCTGTTCCAGATGTTATGTTCTGTGCACAGCAGATTCATGTTCCACCTGAACTGCCAGATATTATGAAACAATTTACCAAAGCAGCTATCAGGACCCAACCCCGTGATGTTCTCCAATGGTCTTATGGGTAAATAGAAAACCAAAGTAAAGTGTCTTGATTAAGAAGACTTCACACACACACATTTAGAAATATATTTGTGCTCAGAGTAATTATGTCACTGTTCACAAAGCACCACAGACATCCAATATCATTAGTCTGTTCACAGATAGCTGTTTAGGTGCCCACCTAGCCTCCTGTCTCACCTGACTTTTAAAATATGCTTAGATCTTTAAAATTATTTTTAAAAGCCTGATACACTGAGTGTTCTAAAATGCTTTTAAGCCCGCAGAGGTATTCCTAGAAATGGTGATAGCTGCATTATTTTATTTTATTTGGAAATATATCCACTTAAACAGAAAGCTGTTTGAAAGAGCAAGAGTTGATCAATCCCTGTCACACCCTAGCTGAAGGGAGTAAACGAAAATACACTTTTTCCCACTTAGTGTAAGCTGTGGTATTGATTTTGAAAACTTTATACATTAAGCATCATGTTTTTAACTTGAACTGTCTTTCGGTATTTGATATGGCACTATGATAGGTACTTCTATGCTTTGTCAAGAGGGGAGCCTCTTCCTGTGAAAGACCGTGTTGAAATGCCAGTTGCTACACAGAAAAATGATACTGGTTTGACCCCTGGCCTCCTTAAAGTTTTGCATAAACAGGTAAAATATTTTTTAAACAGCTGAAATCTACAATAACACTATAGATTTTTAAATGATCTGTACTATCTAAAATTATTTTTCTTTGGACTAGCTTTTCTTTATCCGTGCAAAAGCACCTTCAAATTATAGACATATAACATTCAACACTGAGCAAGTAAAATAAATATAAAATAATCAAAGAAATATAGCACATGTTAAAAAGTATGTAAAATAAATGGGATTAAAACTAAATGACATTCACCTATATCAGGTCACATTGACAGCATTTTCTCTTGCCAAATGAGGTCTTCCTCCATACATGTTGAATGGCTTGTATGCACCGTAGTATATGCGAGATAGATTGTTCTTCCCCACGTTCACACAGAGTATCTTCTGTAGGAAAGTCCCATTTTTTTAAGATTGTCCTTTGATCTTACTACCCTGGCACACAGTCTATTTGGCAATTATTATTTTTTTGCTTTAATTTATATGCCGCCCTTCTCCAGAGACTCAGGGCAGCTTACAATGCGTTAAGCAATAGCTTTCATACTTTTGTATATTTATTCAAAGTCAGCTTATTACCCCCACAAACTGGGTCCTCATTTAACCTACCTTTGAAAGGATGGAAGGCTGAGTCAACCTTGAGCCTGGTGAGATTTGAACTTGCAGTAATTGCAAGCAGCAGATGTTAATAACAGTGCTTTAGTCCACTGTGCTACCAATTTCCATATGGGTCACAGTTGTTCGTGACCAGGAGGCACACAATTCTGTCTGCCTGATAGCAACTAGTTTTTGAACTAGCTAATTAACAGTTAATTTTGTTTTCCTATATTTTCTTTATGATGTATATGCTTTTACAGTTGTCTCAAAAGAAGACTGTGGATTTAATAGATCTCCATAAAAAGTGGAAGACTTTGTGCTTACCAGTAGAACAATTACGCAATCTTCTTCAATTAGATACCTTTGAAGATGGAGTAGAATGGATGAAATTTTTTGCCCTTGGCTGTAGTGCTCTTGGTGGGGTACGTAAGATATAAAAGTCTTTCTTGTATAGAATTATTGTTCTACTGAAATGAATAGTAGAGATGTTTAAAGATAATTTTTTATTTTTAATTTTGGTTAAATGTATAAGGAAGAGATAACTACGAGAATTTTTTAAAAAACAGTTTGAGGTTCAGAAGATAGGACCCATGAAACATATACAATATTAATTAGATCGAATTCACCGTTCGCATAATTTAAAACGTAGAAAATCATGTGCATTATGGACATTTGGGTGTATGCAAACACACATACACATATAGATATGATTTTTAAAAAGTTTTAAATTTATTTAATCCTTTGTTTTGATAAATCTACTTTTTAAAAAACAGGAAAATGCACTTAAAGATTCAGAATTATTTCATCATTTATATTTTCATTCTTCAGAGTACCAGTTCCATTTAATGACTATTCTTTTTTGTCACATTTTTATTGGTTTATCAAAATATAAAATACAAAGGGAAATAAAAAGTAATAGAAAACGAGAGAAGAAAGGAAGGAAGAAAAGAAAATACGGGGTAGAGAAGGAAAAAGAAAGAAAACATCATTGACTTCCAATTCTCTTTAGCACAGTAGAAGATAATAACATTACGTCAACTTTTTATTTTTACACAATAGTACATGCTAACCATTTTTATAACAACAAATCTATCTAATCAGCAAAAACAAAATCAATTTCATTTTTTTTTATTGCAAGTACAAAATCCGGAAGCATATACTATTCCCCATTGCAACTAAAGCAGAGATGGTTAAATTGATTCCTTTATTCAAAGAAGAGAATATATTTAATTTTGTTTCTATTTGAAAATCACATTTAGCAACTGTTCAAAGTTTTGATGGACTTATCTTGGGGTTACTTACAACCCTGATTCAAAGTTACAATGGAAACCCCTCCCAGGTCACATGACTGAACTTTGGGAGCTCGGCAGCACAGCTTCATTTACGCTCTTTGCAGTGTCCTGCAGTCACATGACCACATTTTACGAGTTTTGTAGTTCAAACTACAGCCATAGCGAACTATTGATTCACTTAATAACTGTGATATTCACTTAACCATAGCATTCACTTAACCACCGCAAAAAAGGTTGTGAAATTGATTCAGTCACATGACCAACTCATTTTAGCCCATCATGACTTATGACCAGTGGTGGGATTCAATTTTTTTAACAACCGGTTCGGTGGGCATGGCTTAGTTGGGGTGTGTGGCTTGGTGGTCATGTGACTGGGTGGGTGTGGCTAGCTGGTCATGTGACTGGGTGGGCATGGCTAGCTGGTCATGTGACTGGGTGGGCGTGGCTATGTGCATAGGGACTACTCAGAGGGCTGAAAAAAGTCATTTCTGACTGGTCCTTGCACTTATGACTATCCTCACATTTATGCCCTTTGAGGCATTCTTAACAACCGTGTCAGTCATTTCACCACTACTTCTCTTCACCACGGTGACAAGATAGGGCGCAAAACGTAAAATGTGAGGACAGTCGTAAGTTCAAGGACTGGTCAAAAGTGCGAGGACCAGTCAATAATAACTTTTTCAGCCCTCTGAGTAATCCATATGCACAAAAGGATACAGCAATAGAGAGGGATGAAGGAAGGAGAAGAGAGATGGAAGAAAGAAGGAGAGAGAGGGAAGGAAGAGAAGGGAGGAAGGAAGGGAAGGGAAATTAGAGTAGGAGTGAGGGTAAGAGAGGGAGGAAGAGAGGAGGAGAAGGAGAAAGGAAGAGGAAGTAGGGAGGAGAAGAAGCACGGGGGGGAAAGAAAGTAAGAAGGGAAGGAAAGAAAAGAAAAGAGAGAGGTGGTAGGTTTGAGGAGAAAGATTGCTGTATAGTAAAAAAGATGAAATGGAAGAAAGGCAACCCCAAAGAAATACAAAGATATTAAGATAAAGTATGAATTGTATTTGGCCGGTTCACAAATTTAAACAGTGTTTAGTCATTTCAATTAAATTTACAATTTCTATATTTCCTTTTTGCCATATTTATTCCTCATCTATTTTTTTAAAAAAAACCAATATTACCCTTCATCCTCATCTCTAATCTTAATCAAATTCAATTTTTCCCTTCTATTCTATATTATACCCCTTCCCATTGTCATCTATTTTTATATCCATCCTCACATTGGTTAATTAAGTAATATTACAGTTGTTTAATAATATTATTATTATTATTATTATTAATTAAATTTCTATACCGCCCTTCTCCAAAAAGGACTCAGGGCGGTGCACAGCCAAAGTAAAAACAGAGCATACAAAATTTAAAAACAGTATTAAAATAATTAAATATTTTGGCCGTAAATTAAAACAACCCAATTTAAAATCAATTTAAAATTAAACTCAAGCCAGCCCAGCTAGTTGAAATAAATAGGTTTTCAGGCCCGACGAAAAATCCGGAGGTCTGTTATTGTACGTAACTCTGGGGGAAGGTTGTTCCAGAGGGTGGGCGCCGTCACAGAGAAGGCTCTCCCCCTGGGGGTCGCCAGCCGACATTGTCTGGCGGACGGCACCCTAAGGATGCCCACTCTGTGCGAGCGTACTGGCCGGTGGGAGGCTATTGGTGGCAGAAGGTGGTCTCGTAAGTACCCCGGCCCTAAGCCATGGAGCGCTTTAAAGGTGGTCACCAACACCTTGAAGCGCACTCGGAAGACCACCGGGAGCCAGTGCAGCTCGCGCAGAAGAGGTGTCACATGGGAGCGCCTCGTCGCCCCCATAATCCCCCGCGCGGCCGGAGTGCTGGAGCAGATTTTTTTTCCCTAGCTATGCTGAAAAATGAAACTGAAAGTAAAGCAGGCTGTTGGCTTTGCTGTTTGCTGCAACGCTGGAAAATTAGGCAGGCAGATTTCTTTTCTTTTTCCTTACCAAAAAAGGTAGGTGCAAACAATGGGAAATTTAGGGGAAAAGGGGAGAGTTCAAGATTTTAAAACACAAAAGAAAAAAAGCTCTATTTAACTAGGGAATTGTAATAATTGAGATACTATTAATTGTATATTGTGTTGAAAGCAGAAATGGTTAAGTTGTGGTTTGGAGGAATATATGGGAGAAATTATTTGGTTTATTATTATTGGTAAATATAATTGATTTGTAAGAAATTGGATTGCATTGAAATAATTGGAATATTCATGTTCATATTAATATACAAAAAAGATAATTATATAACTAATTGATTTATATTAAAATGTTGAATTAAATATTTTATGATTTTCATTTTGACTGAAAATGAGATTTTAAAAATGTTTTGTGTGATCTGTTTGCCATCCCAAGCATAAAGTTATGGACAGATTATAGCCATTAAAACACAAAGCTATAGAACATATATTTGCAACAAATGGATAAAATTAATAAATATATCTAGCCAGCAATACAATAAAATAAAATAGATCGAAATCAAAATCCAAAAGCCTGATGGAAGAGAATCATTCTAAATTCCTTCCTAAGTGTCAGCATGTTTTCTGTTGGTGAATTATGGAGAACTAACCTCATGCAGAGGTAAGGAAAAATACTTAAATCCCCTATGGAGTTTTATATGTGCCATTTTCTGCTGTAACCATGAGAAATTACCAACATTCTGGTTTCCTCACTAAATATGTGCAATCATCATGCATTAAAACCTCTGGATGATTTGCATGCTTTTCACTAAGAACTGCATAATATTTGAAGTAGTATTTCTGGGTATTTTATATAGACTTTCCCAATTTATTTTATTTTATTTTGTGAATGCACCTGGGATGAAAACTGAAATAAATGCAGGTTTCATTATGTGCATATTTATAAAGAACTGTGCTACTTTTCCACATTTGCTGCCCTGGTAGCGTTTTACTTTTGTTCTGCATTTCTGTGGAAAAACGCTATGAGTCTGATTAAATACAGTATTAGAATAGCTACAAGTGAATCTTAGTACTTGCCTTGTGTTCTAAGGTATACTTGTTTGCTTGTTGTTTTGGACTTTTTAGACCCTGCTCAGTTCGATGAAGCATGCATGTGAAATTCTGACGCATGATCCAGAGGGTGGACCAGCCCGTATTCCATATGTCACTTTTCAATTTCTCTATTCCTACTTGGCTAGCTTAGATGACGAAATAACAGAGGAAGCATCTGAGTCTTTTCTCAAATCTCTTAAAGAACAAGTGTAAGTATTAATGGGTATATGAATCTTGTGCCCCCCTCTCCTCCGCAAACTGAACAGCAGCTTTTTATCTCCTCTTACTTCACTCCAAATGCCTAGAACCTTTTGATCATGAGAAGAGGCTTCAAAATCTATATCAGTTTGGCAGAGTGCTCCACTAATCCTTTCTTACATCTCCAAAGGGCCCTCTAATTCTATGAAGCAGTTTTGAGAAGCGTAATAGGGAAAGGAGAATCCAGTAACAGTGCAGTGTTTCCTGCTCTATAAGCTATGCAGTTTAAATACAATTTTCACTTTTCTTTTACAGCACAAATTAGGATGCCTCTGTATCTATATTGGGGATGCAGTGGCTCAGTGGCTAAGACACTGAGCTTGTTGATCAGAAAGTTTGGCAGTTCGGCGGTTTGAATCCCTAGCGCTACATAACGGAGTGAGCTCCCATTACTTGTCCCAGCTTCTGCCAGTCTACCAGTTGAAAAGCATGTAAAAATGCAAGTAGAAAAATAGGGACCACTTTTAACAGCATTTTGTGCGCCTTTGGCATTTAGTCATGCCCGCCACATGACCATGGAGACATCTTTGGACAGCGCTGGCTCTTCGGCTTTGAAACGGAGATGAGCACTGCCCCTAGAGTCGGGAACAACTAGCACATATGTGCGAGGGGAACCTTTACCTTTTTATATCTATACTATAATCTTTAACCAAGATTCACAAACTTCAAACTTTCATGGTTGAAGGTGAAAAGTAAAACTCGGGAGAATAGTGAGACAATCAAAGGAAGAAAATTATTATCTTGATGTAGATTAGGAATGCCCAATTTGTTGATGGGAAAATGCCACACTGATAAATGAAAAATCCTTGTGGGCCACAAAGGAATGCTTAAGAGTGCCAGCAGCTGTTCTATGGCTAATAAAACTGGAGCCTTGCAAACCAGTAACAAAGCTTGGACATTCTGAGCAGCATGTTTTTGAGATGGTAGCAGGGGCTGTAAATTTTCTTTGTTGGAAAACATTGGCGGGCTTCATGTTGTGCTGGCCTGTTTGAAGTCTTTAACTGTCAATCAATTGTTGTTATGGTCACAGACCAACATTGCAAATAAAAGCATTAAAAGTAATAATAAAATATAAAAATAAAAAACAGACAAAATAATGTATCGTGATTACTGATGGATTATCAGTGCTTAGTGTGCCTAAGTCTGCATACAGTGTAACAAAATTTGGCGACATTCAGAAAAACTATTTCGGACTGAGCTGATAATGGGTCTTTAATACAAAATTAAATCATTTTATAAATTCTAATTCTTATATACTATTTATTCTACATGTATTGATAAGATGAAGGGGCAGCAAAACCAGGCTTTTATCCACCTTAAATATACTTTTGTAAATGCTGGATGTTGTCAATACAGGTTACCTTTTAATGTACCTTATTTAAAAGAATAGACAGGATCTTATTACTAGTTTCTCCTTTTGTCTTTGTTTTCCTGCCTCATTTGGGCACCTAGATGTTATAGATGTTGGAGATCAAGTTAAGCTACAGATTGGAGGTCTATCTTATACGATAGAAATGTATTTTTTTTAACAAAAGAAATTTAGAATTTTTCCTTCATGTATAAATTGCATGCCTGTGGGGTGAGATGGATTTGATGCATAATATTGGTTCCTTTATTAATAGTAATGAAAAATAATTATTTTCTCATTTAGGGCACGTAAGGACTATATGGTTGGCACTGCAGATTTCTCCACTGTAAAATTGATGCCTTAAAACAGGAATATTTGAGAGTAACAAATTTTTAGTACATAACATGTCATGTCAAATAGTGTAATAAAATTAGAGTTTTCATTAATGTAATCTCTAATGTGCTTTTCAGTTTGTGAACTACCAATAAAATGTGTACCACCTAATTGTCTGAAATCAGATCATGGTATTTTATGACTATTGATTGCTCCTTCAACAAGCAGTATTTAGAGTAGAAAATCTAATCAGTAAGCAGTTAATTGGAGACTTCTATTTCCAGAGCCAACCTGGCTATGCCATCCATTCAGTGAAGATAATATCGTAAGTGATATAGTATCAAGTGTATAGTTCTCCCAGGACTCCTTCCAGACCGTGAATTTAATAAGTATCTTTTAGATTTCTCTTTCTGTGCTTGAGATTCTTATGTATAATGTCTGGGCAACAATCATATAAATGAAAAATGATGGTCTACGGCTGTCCATTATTTTTATTTCCTAATGTCTGGATATACATATGGTACCAATTCACTATCTGCAAAATCGTGATAACACTGAACATCATATATTTATTGGCACTGTCAAAATAATTCAGTTTGGTCTAGTGGTTAAGGCACCAGGCTAGAAAGTAGAAGTTCAAATCCCACCTTAGCCATGAAAGTCAGCTGAGTAACTTTCGGCCACTCTCTCTCTCTCTCTCAGTTCAACCCATCTTACAGGGGTGTTGTGGTGACAATAGGAGGAGGAGGTGTTCTTTTATAGATTCTTTTATAGATTTCTATACCGCCCTTCTCCCGAAGGACTCAGGGCGGTGAACAGCCAAAGGATAAAACACAAGAATACAAAATTTAAAATAAATTAAAACAGATTAAACAATTTGGCTCAATTTTAAAAATATCCCATAATTAAACAAATTAAAATTAGTATTTAAAATTTAAATTTTAAAATTTTAAAAAGGAGAAGATTTAGGCCAGGCCAGCTTGATGGAATAAAAACGTTTTAAGCGCGCGGCGGAAGGTGCGCAGATCCGGGATCCTCCGTATCTCCGGGGGGAGCCCGTTCCAGATTGTAGGTGCCCCCACAGAGAAGGCTCTCCCCCTGGGGGCCGCCAGTCGACATTGTTTGGCCGGCGGCACCCGGAGGAGCCCCTCTCTATGGGAGCGTACTGGTCGGTGGGAGGCTATTGGTGGTAGCAGGCGGTCCCGTAAATAACCAGGTCCTAAGCCATTGAATATGGCTTAGTGCTTCAGTGTTGAATATGTTTGTCACCCAGATATTTATAGTAAAAATTTATTTGTACTATAAATAATATTTTTTATTTTTACAATAAAATATATTTATTGTTAAAATAAAGGCAGAATATTTTGATGAATGTTACTAAAATCAATGTTTTTTAAGAATAGTTTAATATTAGAACCAACAACAATTGATTTAAAGGGTGGTAATTGTCTATGTGAATAATTAAGCAATGTATTTATTTTATTTATTAATTTTTTATGTCATTCTTTTCACTATCCAAAGTGACTCTGGGTGGCATATATCCAGTTTACAAGTGTGGTAGAGATTTCAAATGATATTTATTAAAGTAGCTAACATCTTAGTTGTCAGTGAGATATGTTACTGGAATTAAACAGATACAACTTGGTTTGCCTCATCTCTTGTAATAGAAATGCAAGTATTATTTTCTTCTTTTATGATGCTTTCCTTCATCTCTGAAATAAAATGAAAGCCAGTATTATGTTAGAGCTTATTCCACTATTACTTTTTTAAAAAAATCATATTTTCATGAAACTAGGGTTTATCCTTATAATGCTCATGCATACTGAAATGAAATTGAAATACATACTGCTGCATTTGCTGATATTTATCTTTTGATACCTTTTTCATCAGCTACTTAGAATATAGAATCTTTGAGGCACTATTGTAACTATTTCCCCTTTAATCTTAAATCTAACTGGACTGCACAAAATGAATGAGTTTTTAGAGAGAGATCACAGAAGTGCGAAGCAGAGCAGTATAAAGGCTAGTTAATTTACAGTATTTCTTCCCTCTCCTGTTTTCAGTGTCTCCCTTCTCCTGAGACTGTTCTTTGTTCCAATGGAGGGGAATCTGTTATTTTTCACCAATATACAAAAAAGGAGATAGAGAAGATAAAAAAAACGCTATCCCTTCTCTTGCAATCAAAACACTCATGGTGAATATGTTCTTATAGTACAAGCTAAAAGCTACTTAAATACAGTTTACTAAATAAACTGTCCAGATTCACAGAATGTTTGAACATATAAAGCGTGATTTATAATACAAGTAGTCCTCACTTTAACAACCACAATTGGGAATGGAGTCTTCGTTATCGAGTGAAGGGGTTGTTAATCAAAATGACCCACCTGACTGCTTCACTTAATGACCATGATCCAACAATCCTCATTGTGGTCATTAAATGATCTCATGGGCTGTTAAGTGAACAGAGACTCTGTGCCTGTGGAGGGATTTGGGGTTCTGTCCGTGCTTGGATTTCAGCTGCCAAGGGACAAGTAGGCATGAAGCTGAGCATCCTTCTTTCTCCACCTTTGCAGAGCTCTCTGCAGGGATGGGAAAGAGGGATTTTGGGCTCCATGCATGATTGAATTTCAGCTGCTGAAATCCAAGCAAGCACAAAATGGCAGGGACCTCTTTTATCCAACCCCCATAGATGACAGAATCCTCCTGGTAGGCTGCAGCAATCCACAACCTTCCCTGCCAGCTTCCTCGTTGACTTTCTGGGGAGGCCAGCAGGAAATATTGCAAGCGACAATCACACAATCATGGGGCATTTGTTAACAGTTTTAAGTGCAAATACATTGCCAGGCACCCAGATCGTGATTCTGTGACAATGTGGGGTGGAATGACATTTTACAATAGTCTGTACAATTTTTTACAGGCTGTAAAGCACCCTTGTCCAGGCCTTCATAATTTCAAATTATTGTTAAATAACCAGTTATTAAGCAATGACTGAGCTAAGCAATAAATAAGGAGATCACATTTTGGCTTAGTTTGGTTGTGTGAACACACCCTATATAATACTGGTTGTACAAGAGCAAATGATGGCTATTTTTAATATGGTAATATATAAGTAATATCTTACTCTGTACACTGTGTATATTAATCAGCATTATTAGGACAACTAATTGATTTAGTTACCCCCAAAGTACAACAGTATCAAAACAGAGCTAATCTTCACATTCATACAACTCAGTTGCTTATATATTGCATGCTTCATTATTTTTTTAAATAGTTTAGCAATTTATCTAAGTAGATTAAATTACCCAGGCCACAGAACAGTTTTGGGCAGACTAGTAAAGAACTCATTTTTAAAAATCTATGGAGATGCTCAGTCATCCAGGTCATGGTTGTTCCAAAGGGGCTTTTTGAAGAGGCAACTGGACTTATTTTTAAAAACTTTCTACCATTTAAGATTTAATCCTACATGGAATAAAACAATTTCCTATTAAAAGCTACATTTATTCACCCTGGTTTTATGGAAAAAAAATTACAGGTAGTCCTCAAGTTACAACCACAATTGAGCCCAATATTTATGTTACTAAATGAAACATTTGTTAAGTGAGTTTGTCCATTTTATGACTCTTCTTGCTACATTTGTTAAGTGAATCACTACAATTGTTAAATTAGTAACACTGTTGTTAAGTGAATCTGGTTTCCCTATTGACTTTGGTTGTCAGAAAAGGTGATCAAATGACCCTGGGACACTGCAACCGTCGTAAATGTGAATCAGTTCTCAAGCATCCAAATGTAAATCACGTGACCATGGGGATGATGCAATGGTCATAAGTGTGAAAAATGGTCATAAATCTCTTTTTTCTGTGCCGTTGTAACTTCAGTCAGTAAGTGAACTGTTGTAAATCAAGGACTACCTGTATTTTGCTTATAAATCCTAAAGAAAATACTTCTATAAGATCACAATTACTTTCGAGTAATATTTTCATCTCTTTCATTTGGTTGTTAAAACAGAACCCAATGCTAAGTCTTCAGTTTTATTTACACCACTTCATAATCCATGTATTCCCAACAGCCCTTTTTATATAAAAAAATCACTGCCTATGTTATAGGCCAGTTGAAGTAAAAAGACAGGAGTAAGTTCATGTAATAGTAGTTTATTTTAACCTGGTCAACCTAGGAAACTAATGGGGAGTTTCAAAATTCGTTTTATTTTAATTATTTTATGTCAGGATATTTTTAGTACTTTCTCTGAAATAGAAGAAATTATGATATATAGAATTCCATATTGTTATTTCTTTTAGATTATGCTGATTATTATGAAATCAACTTTTATTTTTAAAAAGTATATGGTTGAGTTTATAATTGATTATGGTATCATTACTAATTTGATACATCTTTTGATTTAATATCTTGGGCAAGTATAAGACTTAAAGCCAATAGCTGGATGAAAATTTAGCCTTCCATCCTTTCTAAGGTAGGTGAAATGAGGACCCAGTTTGTGGGGGCAATAAGCTGACTTTGTATAAAATATACAAAAGTATGAAGGCTATTGCTTAACGCATTGTAAGCCGCCCTGAGTCTCCGGAGAAGGGCGGCATATAAATCAAATTAAAAAAAAAAAAATCAGTATGAAATTCTTTCCTACAAATTAACACTGAATGTAAACAAGTTTTAAGCATGTCCTACAATCCCAGCCTTTGATGTAATATCACTCTAGTTCAACACAAGTCAGATATCAAAGATACTACTTACCTATCTCTTTTCCTTCGGGAATCTCTCTCTCTTTCTCTTTCTCGACTTCTTTTCCGTCTGCCTGGACTTCTACTTGAATTCCTCCTATGTCGAGTATAATCAATATCTTTTGAACTTCCACAAGACTGCCTTGAATCAGCTGATGCAGATCTTCGCTCTTCCTTACTAAAGAAAAGACAGTAATTATATCGTAGCAGTGGTCTTGATCATTAATGTTGGGGGAGGGAATGAATGCTAATTTCTCTTGGTGAAAATTGCCACTAATGACATAACAATTAGCTGCACATAATCATGTAAGAGAGGACTGGGCTGCAAAATATAGCCCAACTGCATCACCATTGCTGTCGGATCTCAGCTGCACTAGAATTAGTGGGAAATAAAGTGAAATATCTACCTCTGTATTGTTTGCTACCTACTTTTATTTGAATGTTGTATTTCCATTTAAAGATGACAGCGCTTAGGAAGCTAGACAGTGAATAAAGTTGTTTTTCTAATAAAATTTGAATTATGAAAAATCTTTCTGTAAAATATTGCAAGGAGGAAGCCATTATTTTTAACAACTGTGATATTTAACCCTGCTTTCTGAATGCCATTGTGCTTGGAAAGACAACCTGCTTCTGCCACTTGCCATGACACAATATTTAAACAAAGCCCTGCTTCTCACATAAGCATTCTTAACTTCTCTGATTATTTTCACAACTATCAAACGATAATTTTATCTGTTGTCAATAACTGGTCAACAATCCATTTCTAAGCAATAAAGGAATAGATGTTCTACAACTTTTACAAAATATAAAATCAGTAACATCACTAAAGGAAATAGGCATTGGAAAGAGTGAAAGTAAACTGTATTGGACACTGGGTATATATAGCACAATACCATGATACGCAGACCTAATCTGCAAGTCAGTAATTCCAGTTTCGTTTGAATTAACAGAGGAACAAAAAGTATGATTTCTTAAATTACTGCCAATTTAGAAAACAGCAAAGATTTGGCAATGATAATCATACCTTCCTGAAGACTTTGCTGAAAAAGAGGATTTTTCATCTTCATGAACCCCAATATTTCTGTTCTCCTCCTGCCAATGAGTGGTAAGTTCTTCCATGTGTACACCAATCACATCTCTGATTACCTGAGTATTCAGAAATATTGAATTTAGATAAAATATTAAGGTATGCCGGAACAGGCTAAATAATCAGATGGAAAGCTGCCTTATGCACAATGTCACTAATAAGATCTATGTCAGGGGTGTCAAACTTGCAGCCTGCGGGCTGGATGCATCACGCACTGGCCACACCCACGCCCGATTTAGTGAAGGGGGAAAAAGTCGTGATATGTCACAGGACGACGCCATGATAATGCAAGTTTCACACTCCTGGTCTATGTGTACTTTGCTTACATTCATTCCTTCAATCCATTTCTCTCCTTTTGGCTACTAATGTTTTCCAGTTATTATAAAATTATGTAAAATAATTGTCCCAATATAAAACAAAGGAAAAAATGTATCGAAAGGTAATGTAGCTGTTAATATTGTTAATGCATTATAATTATCTTAAGCAATTAAAATGCGTAAATTGAAAGAGAAAGTAAATATCTGCAAATGAAAAACTAAATATTAAAAATAACTTATAAAACAAGTGTTTGAAAGATGGTCACTAGGCCTGTACTTCATTTATCCATCCAAATATTTTTCCTATTTTTTTTGCCACGTGCTGGCTATAGTTAACCATCCCAACTGAACTGAACTGGGAAAAATATGAACTGCAGTAAATCTAAATGTTACAATAATTGACACCAAATATTCAAGGTTATAAACTTTTTAAGATCAGGCAAATTTAACTTATTGCAATGTATTATCTACAATGACAGCATCTACACACTGATAGCCTCAACTCAACAATATTTTTGGAAAACAGGAGAATTTAAATATTCCTGCCTATTTAAGGTATTTCATATACCTTAAATAATTTATTATTAATAATAAATAAATAATAAATAAATAAATAAATATACGGATGTTTTTAAATTAAGAAGAAAATAGTTTGAGATAATATGACTCCCAAATCATATAGACCTCTGTGTAGGATTTCTTTGTTATATGAACATTCTTAGCTCTGTACGATTGCCGCCGTCTTTTATAATCCCGCATCTCTGCAAGAATTTCAAGATGAGATTTTGGACCTTTCTGGCCATCATCTAAAAGGGAAAAAAGTATGCGGTTTTAGAAACAATAATTCCAGTGGATGTATTCAATAATATAAGTACAAAAATGAGGACTATATATGATAGATAATTTCAGCAAATGCCTGTAATCTAGACCACTTTTACTAGGAGGGGTTTTTCAAGATAACAAATAAAGCGAATTAATGTCACTGCTGTGACAGCAATCTGTCTCAGCAATGGAGGAAAGGGGTTGATCACCTGGTGCCAATGACAGGCAATAGCTACTGAGTGCAATTCAGGCCAATTTCTGTCCCATTAATTTTAATTCAAATTCATTAATCTGGGAATGCCAGTGTTATAAGAAAACAGGGAATACTATTAGCATCCCATTTTAACAGAAAAAAGGATCCTTCAGCAAGAGACATTTTACATGTTTTGTAATTTTTAAATATAAAAAAGCAGATGTAAAAGCTGTAAATTTTTCTTCCAGACCTTGGTTGACTTTTGCTGCCAAATCTACAAAGAGATCACTGTCATTTTCTGTCGATTGAGATCTTGACCTCTGGTTCTTTGTCTCTGCAAGGACATAATCGTAAATTGCAAGGCGGTCAGCTTGGGTCAGATCACAGACGTAACGCTTGTGGTTTTGTGGAACTTCCGCAGGCTGAGATGAATAAGTTCCTAAAATGTGAGGACAGTTTGGATTTATCAATCAAAACCAACACAATTAGCAATGTTCTGAAGTTTATGTGGCAAGTGGCCTGATACAGACTGCTATTTGTGAAGTTTCCATGAAGCTACTGACTTCATTTGACCTATTACTACTATAATTAGAATCAAAAAGGCTATTTACTCCTAGGACAAACTGGAAATTGGCTAGGAAAAGGAATCGCCCATAATTTTAGAATGTGAGATGTAATTTGGGGGGTGGGGTGAAGACTGCACTGCACCTTTAAACGTGATGCTGAGCTCACACTTAGAAAAATGGGAGTTAAAACTAAGAAGTGAGTAACGCCAAATAAATATTACATTCAAATAAAAAATTATTCCCATGTCATTATTAAGCTTCCTCCTTTCTCATATTAAAATTTATATTTCATCAGCAATTTTTTGAGGATTGGGGACTACACCCAGTTTTTAGGGAACATAGTTTTCTTGTATATTGTATACTGTACGTATACAATGTATACTGTATATGCATAACTGGGCTTCTCGCTGTTTTTTATAGTACATCTAATTGTCCCAGCAGGGCTAATAGTGTATTTGAAATCAAAGTCCCCATTTTGCATTTGGCAATGGGAATGATTTCCCAGTTAGGAATTAGGTGGCATGTAGGCAAAACAGTGACTGAGCCCTATAAAAGCAAATGTTTTTAGTAAGTTCCCAGAGAAGAGCAAAGGAGATATTCAACAAGAGTTCTTTATATCAGACCATTATTCACCATATGCAAGGCAAGTAAATATAAATCAAATTTGTGTTTAGAATTTCAGTCAGTACCATAGTTTCTATACCAAGTGGATGTTTGTGGGCTCCCCAGTGACAAAGCTTAGCTTTCACTTACCTGAGCAATAATTTCCACACTCTTTGGCCATGGCTTTTTTAATAATGTCAAACTGCAAATCTTTGTCTGTAGCAAAACAAAAGATAACACCGTAACATTAAGTATACTTTTGTAATCATTAAATGTAGTGCCTGAAAAAGAGACTATAATTTTGCAGTAATGAGCAATGTTAACAATATACTCAGAAATCTGTACCATTGGAAATCATGTGTTTCTTTTTCTATAGTCATTCTTAGTATTCCAGACTTGCTGAATCTTATAAAATCAAGAGAATCAAAAATTACAGATTTTGAAAAAAATAAGTCTTGGGGTAGTCAAACTAACATTGTTCATATATCGTGTTAAGCCACAATGTTTATTTATCTATTTTTGATTGGGGTGTTGGTTTTCACTTATTATGATGCAGCTAATTGTATCTTATTTAATTATCATTGTTAAGCAAGTTATAAAAAACGATCAACAATTGTCTCTTTACAATACAAATAATTCCACAAATTCACCTGTAGAAGGTGATTCCAAACCTTGAAAATAAAAGCATTTTAAAAATGCAACTTGATGTAACCACATCTGAGTTTAGGACCTTTTTTGTGACAATAGTTAAGTGAATCACCATACTTACTAAACAAATGCTGCAGTCATTAAGCATATTCATTACCTACAATGAGTGTTGTTGTTTTTTGCCAGAAACCAGAAGTAAACAATTTACAGCAAAAAAATTGTCAATCGTGGCTCACATGGCTGGAGGATGCTGCAAACAGCTATAAATGCAGGCCATCCAAAATGCTCAGCATAGTCATGGGACGTGTGTGTTCAATTCCTAGTTGTCAACTCGCAAGGCATCCCTGGTCTGCTCTTGAGTTGCCATAGGCAAAGGGGATGGGAAAATGAACTCTGCAGCTGCGGCAAGGCAGCACGTCTGTCAAAACAAAAGCACATTCCAGCTATATCTCTGTCAAGGCCATCTCCGAGGTTACCCACAGCGGCTGAGAAATTGCTTTGTGACACACCTTGGGAGGAGGGTGGAAACAGGGTCAGAACTTGAACATAAATTACATGGAGTCAGAGTTGGCTTCACTTGGAACATAAAGCTCCTAATAAATAACTGGATTTCTTTTGAAGCTTGGCTCGAGGTTTATGATTTAATTAGGGCATCGGTTGGAACCCTGACATGTAACCTTGAGAGATCTGTGGTAACTTTGAACAGCTACTAAGCAATCTTTGTAAATTGAAGACTACTTGTAGACAGCTCTTAAACATATATCCATACTTCATCTCTGCATAGCATCAACGTTTTAAACTGAGAGCAGATACAAGATCTGGTCTGATGTTTTTATTCTTGCTTCTAAAAATATGAATGAGCATTTGTTAGTATGTTACATTTCAGTACTGTACTTTAGTATTTATTATCACATTCGTACTCACCCATTTGAACTTTAGGAATTTTGCCTTTGTCATAGAAAAAAGTAGAATCATACATTTCAGCCTAGGAAGCAAAATATATGTAAAATAATATTATCAAATGGAAATATAATTGATCAGCCACCAGCCTCGAAATTAATAGAAAATAGATGAAATAAGATAATATTCAATAAGATAATATTCAAAAAGATAAAAGTAGCAGATAAACAAACCCACTGTACTGGATTTCCCTGATCAAATAATTTCCTAAGTCATCTTCATAAATCATCTACAAAAATTGTACATCAAAATTGTAGTAGAATCATGTCCAGTTCTCACTCCCTTTATAATTTTTCACATTGGTGCACAGCACAACTCTCTAGATCCAGGCAGTCCTAAAACTTAAAACCACCATCTTACTGGGATTGAGTTCAAACTTGTTCTTCCCAATCCAGACTCCACAGCTTCCAGACACTAAGGCAGAACCTCCTGTCTGAACAGAGGTGGAGATATACAACTGAGCATTGTTAGCATATTGATGATAGTGATAATGATGATACTTGTGTCAACAAATGATCTCATGCAGTGGCTTCATGCAGATGTTAAATATTAGTGGGGAGGCAGCTGTGGCACCCCACACAAGAGGCGTTGTGGGGTAGACCTCTCTCCTACTGGCATCAACCCTGGATGAAGGAAGAGAACTACTACAACACTGTCCCCAATGTCTAACTACCGGAGCCAGTCTATTTGATGGTATTAAAAACCACTGAGAAATAAAGCAGAGCTAGGACAGTTGCACTACCACCATTCAGTTCCATCTAGAGACCATCCACAAATGCAACCAATGCCATTTCAGTCACATACCCAACCCTGAAATCTACTAGAATACCATTTCATTCAGATCCCTCTGAAGGTGCAAGGCAACCAACTTCTCACCAATCCTTCCTAAAATGAGAAGGTTGGAAACATGAAAAAAAATGTCCAAAACAGGTATATGGATGGCTTTGCAAGGAAGAGATTGCCACTTTAAGCAATGTAGAACTTTAATTTTATATGCCAACATGTGTGGCCTTTGTGGAACAAAGAAATTCTTACCAGTAAAGATTGTGTTAGAAACTGATTTTACTGATCTTTATTTTATTTTATTTTAAAGGTGAGACAAGATCGTTGGGCACTATGATAGTATAATGGTATCTACAGAATGCATGATGTTTACCCCTTATCTAATATTGCAATAACCTTATCAATATAACTGTGGAAAGTATTTAAAGTAAAACTTTATCTGTAAAAATAATTGAAAACACTTTCTGAAACTAGCAGAAATACTAGAATGAGGTAAAAGAACTGTGAGAGAGTAAACCAAAGGGAACAACAAAATAAACACTGGCTATAATTGTTCTGCCATTTGTCTGTATGTAAAAGTGAATCACAATATACCAAATTAGTTTGGTTTATGGAAGAAGCAAGTTTCTGAGACTATTGGAAGTCTTTTCTAAAATTTATCATTCGCAGCTATCAAATTCTCTCCCCCATCAGCTGGGCATCAGGAGAAAGTGAACAGGGTGGGATGGGGAGGTCTCAATGAGCTGTGGGTAGAATAGCCTTCAAGTTGCTCATCCATGACTTTGATTTTAGTATCTGTGTTAATTTGCTAATGGAGTTCTAACAGATTTTTGCAGTAACAACTTTAGGGGAAAATAGTCTGGTGTCCATCTAACAGGTGTCCATTTCAAATATCTAAAGCCAGCCTTGTTTTCAAAAGAAGAGCAAATGTTTTCTTTCCATCCTCAAAATATGAATAACCTTTTTAAAAGGGGGGAAAATAGCAAAGCATTACCTCTTCCTCTTTAGAATAGTCTAGTTTCCTCAATCTACAGGATATCATATGTTTCTCCAAGGAAGATTTAGGCATTTGATGATTAGCATCATAAGGACAGGTCACTTTCTCACTCTGGAGAAAAAAGGAGAAAATAGGTTTAGCATGAAGCACAGTGGTAAGACTTTAGAATAGTAGACATGTTTGACAATAAAACATGATTTTCAATTTTTCATTTTCCCCATGCCTGAAATTATTAAGGTGCTAGACTAAAACCCAGAGACTGTAAGATGTAACCCTTCCTTAGGCATGAAAGCTTTGGACCAATCATTCTCTAGGCCCAATCTTCCTTACAAGGCTGCTGTTGTAGGGCAAACAGGAGCTAACAATATTATTAGGCACAAAGCCAGTGGGTGTCCTTTGGCCACTCACTCTCAGCACTAAGAAGACAATGGCAAGCCATTTCCAAAATTTCTGCAGGAACTAGTCTGGGCATTTGCCAGGAGCTAACAATGACTTGCAGGCACAATCTAAAAATAAATATTAAAACTAGCAGGAGAATTATCTTCCAGAAAACAAAGAAAGCAAGTTCCAGCACTTCTAGATAAATGAAATGTTCAAGAGCATTTCTAGCTCTCACTCTCTTTTCCTCTGTAAGATAACACTTAGCAGATGTTTCCTCTAAGATGAACTGAACTCCTGATGAAAATCTAGGTAGTTTTCTTGGCAGCAATACATAAATGGTTTGCCACTGCTAAATTCCAGGAATTTTTGTTTGTCTTCCATGCTTACTTTATATATATCCTTATGATTCCTGGTGTTCCATCTAAGTAGTACTACCTAGGTCCTATCCTTAGTTTTCACATCATCAGCCATTCCTAGTTACATGCTGCCTATTGTTGTTTTTGTGTGTGTGTATGTATGCGTAGAGCAGAGGTCTTCAAACTTGGCCCCTTTAAGACTTGTGGACCTCAACTCCCAGAATTCTCCAGCCATCTCCAGCCAATTGTCCCAGAGAATTCCGGGAGTTGAAGTCCACAACTCTTAAAGCTGCCAAGTTTGAAGACCTCTGGTGTGGAGAGAGATGGTTTGCCCATTAGCTCCTTTCTAGGGCTGAGACAGTGTGACTGTCCCAAGGTCACCCAACCAGCTTTATGCCGCAAGCCGGACTAGAACTCCTGGTTTCTAACCTTGTGTAGTAACCAGTACGCCAAACTGGCTCTATGTTGTGTATATGGTAACATTAATCATTGCAAAAATCACACAAGAGGCCCCAATATAGAACTGCCTTGAGTTGCAAAAAATCCGAATGATCCCTAGATGGCACTCAAGGGATGCAGCAAACTCTAACTGTTTCAGGGTAGACCAGATCTGCGCAGGCCAACCCTATAAGAGGTTTTTCAAAAAGTGTTTGGTGCACGTAACTGAATAAAAGCTCTTGCTGACTGTCCATTCTTCCTCGTTCCCCGGACAGAGGGTTAACCCAGCTCCCTTGGGGACCCTGATCTGACGCCGCTCGAAGAGAACCTTACCGGGGTCCCAAACCACAGCGGAAACGAAAGAAGACGCTTCTCCACCGGACTGTCGGTCTCGGCAGCCATTTTGGAATAGGGCACTCTCGCTTCAATTTCGCCCAAATTCAGAGGCGACACCATCTTCACTTCTGGCAAAGTAACGTCCTACTTTGAACCTGGAAGCTTCGCTAGGTCAAGAGAATCGTTTTTAGAGAAGGAGTCTAGGAGACCATCGATCATTAATTATTTTTTTTAAAAAGCACTTTTAAACCGAAGGCAACTTCAATAATTAAGAAATCTCGAGCAAAGCGAAGTTGCCTGGTTTCAAAACATTCCGCGGTGGAATCTCGCGATATTTCGCGGTGGAATCTCGCGATATTTCTCCGCTACGCCCGACTGCGAGAGAAACAGAAGGTCGCCCTCTTATGGACACCTCGTGTTGGAGGACTAAATTAGTGCAAGTGAGACAAGCGAGTAGAGTCAAAATGGTCATTGGCAAGTCAAGCATTTCAGATGCATTAAATGCTCAGTCTTTTCTTTCTGCGATCTAAATGGCTGTAGTTCCACTAGTTATGTAATAAAATTAACGCTTGTTTTCTGTTTTCGTGTGGTATCTTTAACCGTAGAGAAACATGCTCAAAAAAGCACATCAATATTTTCTCTATAGACTTTTGAAACTGAATGCAACCATTTTTTACTTAACCAATGTGCATGCTTAATATCCAACCCCCCCCCCCCCAGTTTTTTCTCGTTGGACTATAAATGAAAACAAATTAATGGTCAAAAGTGTATTTTTAAAAAGATGATTAATACACGTATTGCTTCTCTTTAAATCATATTTCTCTTCCTCATTCATACAAGCCTCTTGTTTAAGCTCAGTTCCTAGATCCCCTCCCCACCCATTTATAGAGGCAATGAATGTTAAATGCATCCTATTAAAAATGCAATATAGTCGCAAATTATACTCAATTCTAGAGCGTAATGGGGGGGAGGTGCAGGGAGAGAGAGAATCAAAAATAGTTGCACAGCACATATTGCCATGACAAACAGAAGATATGAATTAATATGTTATCATACCAGTGTATAATTTAATACTAAGAGAGCTAGTGTTTAAAGCACCAGGCTAGAAACCAAGAGATTTGGGATATCTATATATAGTCACAGTGCCAACCTATTGGGAGTGCACCAGATGGAGAATTATATTATTTTGATTATAGTATTTTTGACGGGGGTAATATACTTATACCCAATTGTCATAAACTCAGGGTACTTGATAATTGGAAATGAGGAAATTGCACTTCTGCATACAAAAAGAACAATATGAAGTGTTATATGAAAAGAAAATGTCTTTAGGAAGTAATGGAAGCTCACTCCGATTATGAGTTGTGAATAACAACTATAGTGTGAGCTGTGAGTAACTACTAAGATGGATTACTGATATTCTGTAATATCTGACAAATAAATAAATAAATATTCTGATAATGAAATAAGTGAGAACTAAGCATGAACTATATATCAGGCACAAAATGAATTTGAAAAGAAAACCTAACGACAGTACAAATGAGATGGAATGTATGACCTTCTAATTAGCTAAATACATTCTAATTAGCTACAATATTTATGTGTTTTAAATGTTACATGAGAATCTCTTGGAAGATGGAAGGATAATCTTTGAAGTCCAGCTGAATGAGTCAGGAAAAAATTCCTAAGGCAGACCTTATTAGTGAAGGGATGAGCTTTTTTATTATATTTAAATGTAAGTATTAATTTCTCATGTGATTTATATTATTTAACAGCACTTGTTTGCATGCACCATCCTTTGGCTCCCTCAAAATGTGTGTTATTAGATTGGTCTTTATATTTAATTTTAGCTCCATTTTAGTTCCATATTTTGATTGTGAATTTGTCGCATTTATTAAATCAGGATTATATATGTAGTAGCATAATGCCACATCTTGTCATTTTTAGAGCACAAAGACTTTCAAAAATAGATAACTAATTCATATACTAGATTCATTCTTTAAAATCAAAGAGTGCCTTTCTTTACAATTACTTAGGATTATATTTTTTGCTGTACCTCAAGCTCCATTAAACCAAAAAACTTAACAATTGGCTCTCATGAGCTCATGCTGTTCCAGCATTTATTTTATTTATTATTTATTAGTTCGATTTATATGCCGCCCTTCTCCGGAGACTCAGGGTGGCTTACAATGCATTAAGCAATAGCCTTCATACTTTTGTATATACCTGCTTAGTAGGGCCCCCCCTAAGCGATGTTCTATTTTATACAAAGTCAGCTTATTGCCCCCACAAACCGGGTCCTCATTTTACCTACCTCGGAAGGATGGAAGGCTGAGTCAACCTTGAGCCTGGTGAGAATTGAACTCGCAGTAATTGCAGGCAGCTGGCAGCTAAGTGCTACTTTAACAGCAGTTTAGTCTGCTGCGCCACCAAGGCTCCGAAGCATGCCACTGCTTCGGGTCTAGTCTTGGGTATTTCATCTCATGAGCAATAATTCTAATCCTAATACTATTCTTATCCCAGGGATGATTATCCCAAATCCTTTGTATTATTGGTCTCAACAACATCATTTCAATCCATAATGAGATCATTTCAGTCCTGAGCTATTTATTCAAGGGCAACTCTAACATCTCAGTCTAAAGCTTGCCTTTCACATATTTTATGTAGAATTGCCTTTAAAAAGCAAAGTTTGTCATTTCCAAATGAAATCTTTAAGCCTGTTCCAAATCAGTTCTGAATCTATATTACGGTATTTTATACAGCATCGGCTAAGCCAATTTTTAACTGGCTTGGCTAAGGCTCATTTGACACTGGAGTAAAGCTGGGGTTTTTTTTAGTTGAAATGATACAGCTCTGCAGAGCTTCTGAGGTTTTTTTTGTCTTGGGAAAACTTTCCTCAATACAGTTCTCTTTGAATTGTTCTGTAGAGGTTTAGCTGGCATAGCATTATTCTATCCTGTCAACAAAAGTGAAAATAATCACGACTGGCTTTCAGCTAGTTTGAAGGATGAGGAATGTGTGGAAATTCCCCTAAATTGGCACAAAATGCTGTAATGTAGGGTGACTGCCTTTTCTGAGAAAGTTTCTTCAATAATGTGTACCCTTCAGAACACTGGTTTCTATTTTATTTCTACAAACAATGCAAAGTTTCAAATGCTAAATAGATTTAGAATCAACATTTACAACTGTTCTACCTTAATCCTTCACAATTGTACTATCTAGTTAGATCCTTGCTTTGTATTTAATTTCCAGTGGAATTGTAATTTGTTTCCGAATCCAGTGGAATTGATTTCAGTTGGTAAATATATAGATAGCTCTTATTGCAGGATACTGTATCACATCCATGAATGTTTGGGTGGGAATAATGAAATATGTAACTGATAAACTGAAAAGCAATGGCACATCAAAAAATTATGTAAATAGAAGAGAACGGGTGTGAATTCTAAATTCTATATAAAGAAATCTGCAGATCTGCAACATAGTCTGCACATTCATTAAAAGTCTGCTGAGAATCATTTATTCAAACCCATGAAATGCTATTTACAGGTTCAAATTAATGTTATGCTTTTCATTACCTGAAAACTGGAAACAATTTGTAATAAGAATAAAGCTAGCTTGCTGCCTGGAAAGAAATTGTTATTCTTTTTTCAGAATTAATTACTGATGAGGATAATTAATTTCTGTTCTTGTTTAATTGTTTTACAATAGCCACTGAAAAATATATTAAAGATTCCTTGCTACTTCAGAATAATATTTATGCTTTTGTAATTTCCCAAATGGGGATGCAGCAGATGTAGGCAAAGCAGTTGACAGATGAACAGAATTGGCCACATCTGGAAATGTTACTCCCACACCTGTTAAGGGATTGTTTTCTTAAAGCAAAATAGCAATCTGCATTGGAGTTCCTCTTAGTAGCAATCCAAGTGCAGATAAATTCCAGACGTTTAAGAGATTGAATTAAAAAGGAGGTTATAGAGAAACCTGCAATTTGATCCACCTGAAGAAGTTCTCAAGAACCTCAGTGAGCTAAAGGAGTTTAGCAGAATACAGTACTACATAATGAAACAATAGATTGCCTAATTAGTTGTTTAATAGAACATTTTGAAAAATCTCTTTGAAGAGAAAACTAAATATTGAAAAAAAATACACCAATTAGTCCAAACATTTTATAGAAGAGAATCAACATCTATGACTTCAATCTGAAGAAAAATGCTGGTTATTATGTCATTATTGTTTCCCCAAAACCTGCTTTTGAAGATTGGGGCTTCTTGAACTAATAAAATTTGTTTGATTTTCCTCCAAATAAAGATTGCCATGCTATTGTTTAGACATAATAAATTCTTCCTAACTCCAGTGATTCTGAGAGATCGGATATTTCTCATCTTTTTTCTTTACTGGTCATGATAGGGTAAAGTTGAAAAAAATGAAATAATTTGTATAATGCAGCCTTTCTCGGTCCTGTAAATGAAGGTGTGTAAGTAATAGTCTCAATTGTTTCTCTCACCTTTGGGTTTTAAATAAATCTCATATAGTTAAGCAAAGTCAAGCTTTATTTTAACAAACCCTGAAACACAGGAAATCTGATTGGGAAAGCAATATATGCACCACTCTCAGGAGACTATAAGATCGTTCTTCAATTAGTAGTCTCAGAAGGACAGTTCCCAAGGAATAGTAATGAGAAAAGTAAATCTTGATCCCAGTTTGATGACATTTTGTTACGTTTTACAGACACAAATAAGAGAAACTAAAGTTTCTAATACAGTCAAAATAAATTAGAAATTGAACATCAGCTCCCCTGGATTCCAAAGTGAATTGTTCCTTGGATTTGTCCTGGCTTTCCTGGGATAATTCAGGACATTTATCATAGTTGTTTGGGTGGGATGAAACTCCCAATTTCTTATTCTGTGTTCCTGGAATTCCACTTTGTTTCTTTTAAGGACCCACATTTTCTTTGCAGGAAAGAGGGAATGATTGAAGAAGCCAGATTTGGGAGGAAGGGTTGGGTGAGTGCATATTAAAGATCATATGTGAGAGATATTGATTCACATGTTGGAGCTGGCAGCTTGCAATTTGAAGGCCTGTCAGAACTGCAGGAGTGTACGTGGGTGTGAAAGCATGCATACTCATGCACTCCAAAGCCAAATCAAAGATATATTTCAACATAGGAGATTTTGTGAGGCTGTGAATAGTTAGAATGATCATGCAATTCTCTATCAAGGAACAAAGTAGTTTGCACAATCAATGGAATGTTGTTGTTGTTGTTGACCTTAAACATTTCTCCTATTGGGTTGTAATTCCACTGGTTTTGTATTGCATTTACTAAGTTCACACAGCAAAGTT